GCCCTCCTTACCGCCGCTTTCCGGGGACGCGGGGGCGTTCAGTCAGAAGGTTTGGCCTTTGAGGTCAGCTTGTCCAAGTCCTCATCGTGCAGGTAAGGAAACAGGCCCAGAGACTAGAAAGGACTTACCTAAGGTCACTCGGTATTCCAGTTGCTCTGTTAGGAGGAGCATTTATTCCTGACCCCAAGGACGACTCTTTTGAAGGCAGTTCTAGGGCAGAGCCTCCAATTTGAAAAAAGTACTGGAGGAATATCAAATTGCTCGCATGGGAAGGAGTTCGACCATTTAACATAATATGATTGGAACCACCAAAATCTTTACCTGAAACCCTGCTGTTCTGCTTTGGGGGAAGCTACAGAAAACCCCGATAGTTTGTAGTGACACGCACAGGCCTGCTGAAGGCATACTTGGGGCACCCTGGTGCACATTCAGCTCTGTTGTCCCAATGCCAGCAGGCCTGGGGCCCTCTCAGTCCTGGTCCCAGATTCTTTCTTTGCTAACCACTGCAATCGGACAATGCCATTTGGGTTCAAGGTCCCCCAGCATGGGCATCAATCACCATCATACAAAACTAAAAAGCAAACCTTTATGAAGAGGCTCAGTGGCAGACCACCCTGCCAATCCATCCCATCCCATCCCCACTGTGCCTTAGAAGGATAAGTTCTTATTTTGGGGGACTAGAGGAGAGCGAGACCTATTGAAAGCTGGTACAGATGCATGCTTTCTAGCTTTGCTCCTTAGCTTTGAAGGCATAGTGCATCCTAGGGAAAGAAAATCTGCACATGCCCTAGCCCAGTAGCTCAGTTGGTTAGAGCTTCATCCAATATACCAAGATTTCAGGTTCGATCCCCCATCAGGACACATACAAGAATCAATCAATGAATAGATAAGTGGAACAATAAATCGATGTCTCCCTCTCAAATCAATCAATTAATCAATAAAAGAAAATCTGCACAGATCCTGGAAATCAAGAACCTAGTGAATGGGAGGAAGGGGGTTGTTTGCCAGCACATCTACAAAGGGCTCTGACCTTTGGATAGTTAATGCCTCAGCATCTGCACCTGAGCAGGAGAAGCCCTTACACACAAAAATGCCTCGGTGCCACTGGCTCTGCTTATGATGAAGCTGGAAAGCAATGGGGATTAGAGAACATCCTGGTTCTTCACAGGACGGATGAATGCCCTTTTCCTGGAAGGGCTAGATCTGTGCTGGTTTTGACATTGCTTCCTTTAAGGTGTCTGCAACCTGCTACCAGTGTTGTTGGCCCTGGTCCACTGCACAAAGAAAATGACAAGTTTAAAGGCAATATATAGGTGTGTGTGGTGGCGGTGGGGGAGGGTGCACAGTATACATAATAGTGGCCTGAAATAACATTGTTGACCAAGTTTCATTTTGTTTGGAGTCAGCACTGAACCATTCTGCCCAGGATGCTCAGAGAGCTACATCCAGCCATACCCTTCTGTCCTCAAGTAGTCATGGCACACATACAGCTCCTTGAAGTCTCTTCTAGAGGCTGAAGTCCAATTTTGCCGACTCTTCTTGTCAGGGACCAGCTCTATCATATTAAGAAAGCACCAGTTTGAAAAGTAATATTCTAGCCTGGCAAGGCGTGGCTCAGCGGTTGAGCATCAACCTAGGATCCAGGAGATCAAGGTTCGATTCTGGGTCAGGGCACATGCCCAGGTTGCAGGCTCGATCCCCAGTCGGGGGCCTGCAGGGGACAGCCAATCAATGATCAGTGACAATTCTCTCATCGATGTTTCTCTCTCTCCCTTTCCCTTCCTCTCTCTGAAATCAATACAGACTTTTTTTTTTTTTAAACAAAAGTAATATTCTAGAGACTTTTTCTTTCAGGGGTGGGGAAACAGGAGATAAAAGTGGAGTGAACAGATTCAAATGCCAGCCTCTCCCTTGCCCCCAATATCCCATCTGCTCCAGAGCTTAGTGGAGATGCCTGCTATTTAAAACAAACAGCCTTACTGGCTTCACATGATCATCTGTTTATTTGGGTCATGTGGGGACAGCAGCCAGGGGATGTTAGGCAAAAGCAAGGGTTTGGAAAGGAGGCTTTTTCTGGGCCTATTGTTGCCTACAGAAGCCTTAAAAAGGACAAACATAATTTTTCATCAACTAAGGTTCCCCTACTTGGGGAATGGACAGATAGCTCTGTAAAGGGGATGGGTGGGGCATAAAAGGAGAGGCGAATGAACAGAGGGTTGTTCAATGTGTGAGCCTCAGCTTCCTGTTCCAAGGGGGTGGAACTAGGGTAGAAGCTGCCAATTGCTGTATTCATTCAAGGGATAGGGAAAAGAAATCTTTTTGATGTTTTAGCAGAAAGGTTAGCACATTTTGGAAATGATCCAAAGCCCAGGCATCTCCAAAAAGTTGTTCTAAAGTTTC